TCTAATATAGATGTTCCCAAAAGATCTATGAGGCTTTTATAATTCTGTAGATATAACTGCCCCATCAGTAACCAGCTCCAGTCAGTGATTGGTGGCTGACTTTTCATGCCTTTAGAGACAGCATGAAAAGTCAGCCACCAATCACTGACTGGAGCTCGTTACTGATGGGGCAGTTATATCTACAGAATTATAAAAGCCTCATAGATCTTTTGGGAACATCTATATTAGAACAGATTATTGTTCTGTGATTGGAGGGATCGGCTGCACACTGCGGAGACTGACAGCACTGATTACATAGTTTTCTTTAATAAATCATTTTTAAAGTGGCCTTTATGATGCAGCTAAGGATTATTAATCTGTTGATCATGTCTTTGAATAATCTAGAAGACTTTTCATTAAATTAAAGCAACTTAAACTTTTCAACTTGGAAGAGTTCTGGATTATAGAACAGATTGACAGACTGGTTTTTTAATCTTAAATGCTTATACTTGGTATAACTCCTGCTCTTAGCGTGCCGCTCTGTCAGCTAAAGGAATGTTTTAGAGTCTCTATCCTCCAGTTAATAATTAATTGATTAATAAATTAGTTGATTATTTTAATAATTGATTAATTGGATTCATTGTTTCAGGTCTAATTGCTTATTTATCCTTTTAAAAGTATTTTAAATGAGTGTGATTTAATTTAACCTGGTTAGATTGTGGTCTATATCAGCTGAGGAGCTGTCTCCCTCTGACCAGGTGGCCACTCCTCCTCCATGGAGCTGAGTCAGTAGAGCGAGGAGCAGCAGGAGGTGCTGCTTTGACCCGGCCCAGCAGAAGATTGAGAAGCTTTAGGTTCTGCTGCGTGAAGCCATGGCTTTCCTGGACAACCCGGCCATCATCCTGGCCCACATCAGGCAGTCCCACGTCACCAGCGACGATACGGGGATGTGTGAGATGGTTCTGATAGACCAGGACGTGGACCTGGAGAAGTGCCAGCTCACCCTGGTGCCCGGTACCAGCTGTGGATCGTCAGGCTCCGCCTCCCTCGGCGAGGCCGGCTGTCCCGCCGTGGAAAACCACAGCTGTGACCTCTCCCAGTCCATGGACATCACCTCCAGCTGGGACTTTGGCATCCGCCGCCGCTCCAATACAGGTAAGCTCAGCCGCAGGCCGCGGCCGGCCCTCTGACCGGCCCTCTGACCGGCCCCGCAGGAAGCTGGCCCCTCTGTGGCTCTGAGGGGCCGGCCCCGCAGGAAGCCGGGCCCTCTGTGGCTCTGAGGGGCCGGCCTCCTGCTGGGCCGGCCTCCTGCGGCTCTTACGGGTGGAACCAATCGGAGGTTGGAGCTTAAATCTTTGGTTTGTGGTGAAATCAGGGGATCAGATGTTTGTTGATTGAGTGAAAGGAGACGATAGAAGAAGAACTCAGGAAGGAAGCTCGGTTTGACCCACGGAACCCACTGGTTCGGTCCCGTCTGCTCATCCAGCAGCAGCCGCTCACAGACCGCCGGGGGACGGGGGGGGGGGGCGCCATGCACCTCCTGAAGCAGAATGTGGAGGATCATCCCATGGCTGAGAGCTGAAGGCCTGAGCTGGTTCCAGTGGGAAAGAACCACTCTGGACACACAGCCTTCCACGTCTGCAGGCTGCTCCTGCTCAGGCTGCTCCTGCTCAGGCTGCTCCTGCTCAGGCTGCTCCTGCTCAGGCTGCTCCTGCTCAGGCTGC